TACCATCTATATACCATTTTCATTACATTTTCCTTCAACGTGGTACACGCCGTAAATTTTAACCTTTCATTCCATAATTTCGTCCAATCATCATATTGTATATTATAACCAAAGTCTCTGGCCCAATGTATCATTACTGATTTCACCTCTTCATCTTTTGTGTGCCATTCCAACAACATTCTATACATTTTAGACAAATTTTTATACTCATTATTCAATACCTCTATTTGAAATTTTGATTCTTTTCCTTTATATCCGCATGGGCCCATCTTTAATGGCTTTTAAGACATCCTCGAAAACTTTCCTATTTCAATCGCATAGTGCTGTTCTTTGAACTTTTCTTCTTGCTGCCTATAAATCAGAAGGTTGCTGTAATTTCACGGAAAGATTGCCTCCTTGCATATACTTACCCAAACCTTATGATCCTCTTCAAAGGCTTCACTCTATGAGCCACCACCAAATGAGGCGAGGCGAGGCGAGGCGAGGCAGGTGGCTGCTAGAAAAAAGGGCTTTCTCTGTGGTAGTACCCCAGTAGTTGCAGAACAGTTTCCTGGCACCTTATTTATTTATTTAGAGCATTTGTACTCCTCTCTCCAGACAAAACGGCTCCAGAGTGACTTACATACAATTAATTAAGGCAGTCCCCTGCCTGTAGGCTTACCATCTAAAGAAACATGGCACACAAGGAAAAATGGTCAGGGAGGGAAGAGGGAATGGTCTTTTCAGTGCAGATGAAGACCATTTTGTTCACCCAGACCTATTAAAATTGTCCTATAAAACAAAGCCTAGGATCTCATTGTGGTTCTAAATAAACCTTATGCTCTTGTAGCATTGGCTAAGTTGTACTTCCTTATGTTCTTTCTCTTAGGGGACATTTTATGTTGCTTTTATTAATCTTCTGCATTATTAGAATCATAGAATCGCAGAGTTTGAAGGGACCCCAAGGGTCATCTAGTTCAACCCTTTGCGATGCAGGAATCCTGCCCACAGCCATCCCTGAGTGGGCTCAAACCACCAGCCTTCTGGTTAACAGCCAAACACACTGGCCCTTTGTGCCACAGATTGTATTTTTCATTATATGAGGTTTGTTGTATGATGTCTAGGGATGGTATTGAACTTCAGCAATTTGTATTTAATACAAATAATAGCACCTGATTATTATTTTTTAATGGAAAAAATGCTTGTGAATTGTCTTGGGAGGTTTGTGTCCTGAAATGTAGTTAAGAAATCCCGTTTGACAAGTAGTAAACCAATATGATATTTTAATGTGCCCCAAGCCTGAGGTGAAAGAATTGGACTAGGAATTGAAATAATGTGCTAGTGATGTGAAAAGTATGGATGCCTCTAAGTCAGCCTAACTCTGGGGGGTACAATGCCCCCTGGTTTCAAAACTGCAGGTATTCTGTAGTGCACTATGAATACTTGTACAAGCCCTGAGGCTGCATGTGTTCCTGCTTGTTTCTGATTTTTGCTGAAATCCACACAGTGTCACAAAGCTATTATCATACATAAGTAAATACGTTATGTTAAATCAAAGAAAAGCTGTGCTTTTGCCAGTGTTTCTTGAAATTTGTAAAGCTTTAACCGCCCCCCCCCCCCAATGTATTGCTTATTATAACTTGAAAAGAATTTGACCGGTTTTTCCAAACAAATGGAATAAAATCTTTGAAACCCCACAATAGAAATATGCTGTATTTTGCAGTTGCCACAGAACTCATCTTACTTGAATTAACTTTTGGACACAGCAAACATATCAACCTTTAGTCTCTGTAATGGGCAAAGCAATGGGTTGTTTGTATGTTAGTCCTAGTCAAAATAGACTCGTTGGAGTTTAGAGACTTAAGTTAGTCATGCTAGTAATTTCAGTAGATGCATTATGAGTATCACTAACGTTGGATACAATCCAATGTCATCAGAAATGGGCAAGGGCAACATTCTGATTATCAGTTCAGATCCCATTTAATCAATCAGCTGAAGCTAGATGGCACTCTAGCAAACAATTAAAGAAGGACAGAAAACAACAGTTATATAATTTATATACAATACTCTGAAATGCTCAAGGTGCTTCACATAATGTCGCAATCCTTACAACTGTCAGAAAAGCTTCCGGGGTGGCGCCTCCGGAAAATGGCGGAATTCCCTTCGAACTGAAGGGAACCCGCTGCACGGAGGCTTGGGTCCTGCCGCTACGGCGCAGCGGGGACCCTTAAAAACCACAGGCGGAAGAAGCCTGTGGGCGTGGGACTCGGCGGGCACCGAGAGCGCTCTCCCCTTGTACAGGAGCCCGGTAGCGGGCTCCGAGGTGGGAGGTGCGTGGTGCTGTGAGTCGACTGCTTCCTCCGTGCAGCAAAGCCGCACTGCCGTTTTCGGAGAGCGCTGCCTTTTTCCTGGACAATTTGGCATCTAAAACATCTATCCGTGAGTACCTGATCCTGGAAGAGCTGAACTACTTTTAAGATTGGTGAATAAATAAATAACATTGGACTTGAACTTGAAATTGAATTTAATTGGGACTCGGAACGGAAAGGTCTAAACAGGAAGTCGCCTTCCGTTCTTTTGTTACGTGAAGAAAGCAAAGACAAATTATACTAAAGCCTGAAAACTAAATTCTGAGAGAACTAAAATTCAACATCTAAGATTTCTAGAACCCCCTTTGATTGCAGGAGAAGAAGGGGGTTGTTTTGATCTTTTCAACCCTGCGGAAGTGAGTTTAAAATAAAGTAATTTTCCACCGCCCTGAACCAGGAGCGGGCTGTCAGAACTGACGTTTTGAAGCTTATCCAGCTCGACAGATAGTTAAAAGAAGGGTAACATTTTGATTCTACTGTTGCCTCTTGAATTTGAAAGGGGGAATTTTGGATAAAGTGTTTCTGGAAAAAGAAAGATTGTTACTGTTGTTTTTCCCCCTCTTAAAAAATAAAATAAAAAATAAAAAAGGGTTTTCCATCTAGTGGAACTGAGTGAAATTGCAATGCAGAGAGTTTAAAAGAGAAGGACCATTCTCATGGGAAAGAATTTTTTTTTGACCTTGAAGGACAATGCTTGTACAAAGGCTTGAACAAGTGTTCCTGGAAGGTTTGCAAAATTAAGTGCCCAGCTGGACCAGATGCGTCAGGAGTCGACCTTGATGATGACGGAAGTCACCAGAGCACAGCAGCAAACAAATGAAATTCAGTTAAAGTCTATACAAGTATATGAACCTGCTGTCAAGTTCAAGTTTATTGCGGCCAAAGCCAGTGACACTAAACATCCCAAGATCAGACAACAAGAAATCAGCAACAACTTCAGAAAAGAAAAAAGGTTACACAAGGGAACTTCGCAGTGTGCCATTCAACAGAAGAGATTTACGTTTCTTAATTACTAAAGTGCAAAATTTAGCCACCTCATATGATACTGAGCTTGAGGAATCTTCCAGGAGGTATTTTCGAAGAATTTCAGGGAGGATTCCAAATAATATTGAAGGGGTATAAATTTTGATAGAAGCGGTAAAATAAGTTGAGCTCGTTCTTCACTATAGAATTCGCAAGATAGAAGAATGTGTGTGACAGATTCTACCTTATTAGACATACAAGGGCAGAGACGCGCATGCATTGGAACCCGCGTGAATTTGCCGTACAGCACTGCTGAGGGCATTGTCTCAAAGCGGGCTCTAGAGAAAGCCCATCTATAGGCTTCGCTAGTGATGTTGGTTAAGTAAGGGCAGCTGTAAAATTAGGCCAAGCTTTTAAACATCTATACGTCTCTGGGAGTAGGGCGCCTTCTTGTTGTAATTCGATATCATAAAGTCTCCGAGTAATAGTAGCTTTTGCCTTGTTCAGAGTTCCAATAAAAATATTTTCAGGGTTTAGGCCAATTTGTTTGATCTTGTTAGTTATTTGCATAAGCCAAGGAGGATAGGGAACTGCGGCCAGGAAGCAAGGTAATAGACCCTTAGGATTGTAATGGATTTTCAGCCAGAGGGATATTGCTTGTTCCCAGACTTTTAATTCCACTCTGGGCAGTCCTGCCTCTTGCCTTAAGACTGCATTAGGTGTACACTTAGGGGTAGCAAATAATGATCTTAAGAATTTAGATTGTACTGTTTCAAGGGTCTTAAGGTTGGCAGAGGGGCTAATTTGAGAGCCATATAGAAGTTGGGCTAAAGATTTTGCCTGAAAGACTGTTAGGGCCATCGGGAGGAAGCCAGCTCCTTTCCTTCTGAATAATCTAAGGATAGCATTTGCACTTCTTTCTGCTGATATAGCTGATGTGGTCAAGTGTGCTGAGAATTTGGCATTATAAGAAAAAGTAATGCCTAAATATTGGAAGGTCTTAGTCTGTTCAATGGCGTTTCCCTTTACGCTCCAATTATCCTTCCTGAAGGAGCGGTTAAAATGTACAATTTTGGTTTTGGCAAAGTTAATTGTTAGCAGTTCAGTGTTACATTGGTCACTAAACTTTCCTAAGGCACGTTTCAGACCCACTTTGGTTTGAGAGAGAAGAACAGCGTCATCCGCATACATTAAAATTGGTACTTTTCTGCCATTAGAGAACACAGGGGGGTGGGTTTCAATTTCACGGCAGCATGTGACCAGGGAGTTAACATAGATGTTAAATAGGAATGGGGCTAATAGGCATCCTTGTCTAACTCCTCTTTGGACTGGGATTTCTCTAGAGAGTCTGCCGTCCTGTGCAAGTCTTATCTGGAGGGTATTGTTCTCATGAAGCTTAATCATCAGAAGTAATAACCTTCTGTTAATACCCATATTGGCCAATTTGGCCCAGAGCCTGCTCCTAGATACAGAATCAAATGCTGCCTTTAGGTCCACAAAGGCCGCATATAATGACTTTTACAATATTTCGCCTACTTATAGACAAAGTAATCTAACACCAAGCAGTGATCAATGGTGGAACGTCCGGATGTAAACCCTGCTTGTTCAATTTCTAGCAAGTTGTTATGATCTAACCATTCCCATAATTTTAGGCATAGATGTTTTGTATAAAGTTTACAGATCACATTCAGGAGACTAATTGGTCTATAATTAGATGGATCAGAGGGTTGCCCTTTTTAAATATAGGAACACTTATAGCTAGTCCCCAATCTTTAGGGATTTCAGTTGTCTTGTCTATATATGAAAATAGATTTGCAAGGACCGGGGCCCACCAGTTTATTTGCGCTTTCAAAAGTTCAGCGACAATGAAATCACTTCCTGGGGCTTTGCCAGATTTCATTTGTAGAATTAGCGAAGCGATTTCAGTTTCAGATGTTGGGGGCCATGGTGTATCATTATCTAAGGGGATGTTAAGCGGCGCAGAAGGACGATCTTCCCTAAACAGCACTTTATAGTGCTCTTCCCATGAATTTGCAGGGATTATTGTGCCCTCATTAGGAGCTTTGGTTTGACTGGAGATAATTTTCCAGAAATTAGAATTGTCTTTTTCTATTGGCGCTTTTATGAGGGCCTGCCAGATGAGAGAGTCTGCGGTTCTTTTTTGGTTTTTAATAACTCTTTGTAGTTCTTTTTTTTAAGTTGTAACTCCAATTTAGTGATAGGGTTAGGATTTTGCTGGAAGACCTTAAAGCATTCCCTGAGTATGAGTTTTGCCTGAGTGCATTCGTGGTCAAACCATTTTTTGTTGGTAGGAGTCATTTTGGTTAGATCTTCTGGGTCTTGACAATAACGGTTGGAGTTTTCGGATTAATGTGTTATAATGGTCAATTGGGGGAGGTCTCTTCAGTGTCGTTGGAAGTCAGATCAGCCCAGAGGAGTTGACCTTCCATTGATTGTGTCCAAATACCAAAATGGTTATTAACATAAGGGGACCATTTAATTCTGGATCTACCTATTTGTTGTAAAGCGCTAGGATCAGGAGTCTGCGGGGCAAGCCCACATCTAGAGGGTTCCCAAAATTCAGTCCTTTTAAGATTTAGGGGTAAATGGTCACTTTCGGTATGAACCTGCTGTAGCGACGGAGGCTTCAGAGATGGAGGGACCTATGGATGGGCAAGATCAGCCTTTGAACTTGATAAATGAACTTGGGACAAACCTGATTCGGAAAGATGAAATGTGGTCAGATTTGGAAATGGGGGGATGGATTGACACCCCTCTATATGGTTATTTGGACTTTCCGAGTCTAGGGATGGGCCATCAGAGGATTGGAGTAGTCGAAGTCTCCAAGTTTTCTGGAAATTGGAAGTGGTATTATCTGCTGTCTGGCTTGGGTAATGGGTTTGGGATGGACTTGCTGCAAAGAGTCAAAAGCATCTTCTTGCTGGAGTATCCACGACTGAAAGGGAAATACAGTGGTGCCTCGCAAGACGAAATTAATTCGTTCCGCAAGTTTTTTCTTCTTGCGAGTTTTTCGTCTTGCGATGCACGGTTTCCCATAGGAATGCATTGAAAATCAATTAATGCGTTCCTAGGAAGCCGACTTCAGACCAGGTCCGGGGACAGTCTGTCCCCGACCTCTTCTGAAGGCTGGGGGGGACAAGGGCTTTTCTTCCACCCCAGCATTTTAAAACCCCGGGACAGCGGAGGGCTTCTCCGCTGTCCGGGCGATCTTAAAATGCTGGCGGGCGGCATTTAAAATTGCCCCGGGACAGCGGAGGACTTCTCCGCTGTCCGGGAGCAATTAAAGCCCCTGGGAAGGCAGGCAGGGGGACAAAGACTTTTGCCCCCGCCAGCCTTCAGAAGAGTCCTGGACCTCTTCTGAAGGTTGGCGGGGCGAAAGTCTTGTCCCCCCACCTGCCTTCAAAGCTGTCCAGCCAAGGCTCGCGGACCTCTCCGCAAGCAGCGGCAGCACTGCCGCTGCTTGCGGAGAGTTGCCGGCATGCCGAAGCCTGCGCGCGCTGAGATCAGCGCGCCCAGGCTTCGCGGACCTCTCCGCGAGCAGCGGCAGCGCTGCCGCTGCTTGCGGAGAGTTGCCGGCATGCCGAGCCTGCGCGCGCTGAGATCAGCGCGCCCAGGCTTCGCGGACCTCTCCGCGAGCAGCGGCAGCGCTGCCGCTGCTCGCGGAGAGTTGCCGGCATGCCGAAGCCTGCGCGCGCTGAGATCAGCGCGCCCAGGCTCGCGGACCTCTCCGCGAGCAGCGGCAGCGCTGCCGCTGCTCGCGGAGAGTTGCCGGCATGCCGAAGCCTGCGCGCGCTGAGATCAGCGCGCCCAGGCTTCGCGGACCTCTCCGCGAGCAGCGGCAGCGCTGCCGCTGCTCGCGGAGAGTTGCCGGCATGCCGAAGCCTGCGCGCGCGGAGATCAGCGCGCCCAGGCTCCAGCGGACCTCTCCGCGAGCAGCGGCAGCGCTGCCGCTGCTCGCGGAGAGTTGCCGGCATGCCGAAGCCTGCGCGCGCTGAGATCAGCGCGCCCAGGCCCGCGGACCTCTCCGCGAGCAGCGGCAGCGCTACCGCTGCTCGCGGAGAGTTGCCGGCATGCCGAAGCCTGCGCGCGCTGAGATCAGCGCGCCCAGGCTTCGCGGACCTCTCCGCGAGCAGCGGCAGCGCTGCCGCTGCTCGCGGAGAGTTGCCGGCATGCCGAAGCCTGCGCGCGCTGAGATCAGCGCGCCCAGGCTCGCGGACCTCTCCGCGAGCAGCGGCAGCGCTGCCGCTGCTCGCGGAGAGTTGCCGGCATGCCGAAGCCTGCGCGCGCTGAGATCAGCGCGCCCAGGCTTCGCGGACCGGAGATTTCCCTATGGGCTTTCGTCTTGCGAAGCAAGCCCATAGGGAAATTCGTTTTGCGAAGCGCCTCCAAAACGGAAAACCCTTTCGTCTAGCGGGTTTTTCGTCTTGCGAGGCGTTCGTCTTGCGGGGCACCACTGTATCAACAAGAGTGGCGAAAGGGGCAAGAAAGAGACTTGAGGGCCTCGGACACGAGACAACCAGGTTCAGGAGCCGGATTATTGAGGTTAAAAGGACTGACAATCCCGGGACCAGGGGAGGAGGCTGGAAGTTGACTGGACTAAATCTGACTTATTATTTTTTCTTTCTTATTTTTAATATTGGGAATGTTTATAAATGTTTGAAGGATGTTGAATGAAATTATATGACTTAAGTAAGGATTGGTAAATGATTTGTAAAAAGGTAATGATGTAAGAATTTGCTAAATATGGAATATAAGCTTTGAGTTTTAAAGTTTTTATATGACAAGAGGAAAATAGAACAAGGAAACGCAATGATAGATTGTTATGAAAAAACAGAAAGGATTTGCTGTAAAAATTAAACACTAAGAAACAAGAGGGGAGGAGGAGGAAGTCTAGAAAGGAAGTTAATGGAGATCGTAAAGGATTTTATATTTCTGTTTTTCTGTTTTTCTTTTTTTCTTTTTTGCGGCTGGGTTTTTTCTTCTTTATTATTTCTGTATTATTATTTTTTTTTTTTGTATTTTCAAACTTTTCTGGAAATTTTTGTTGTTATTTGTTACTTTTTGAAAATTTAATAAATATCAATTAAAAAAAGAAAAAA